TTCTCTAAATAAATTTGTATTATTCTTTTGTATCTTAGTGCTAATTTTTATTAATTATTTTGAAAAAAAAAATTGTATTAATTTCTATTGGTTTAATATTATTTTTGTATGTTTTGACCCTAATAAAGGCCTCTCCTATAGTTTTGAGGAAAAAAGTGCAAATATCTCCTTTTCCTTGGCCTTTTGATAACAAAGATACTGAAGTTACCAACCTTTATCCTTGTTAATGCATTATCATACATAATTTAAAGTTTTCACTTTACCCTTTGCTATTTTATTTTGCCAAACAACTTTATCCTAGTTGATGAAAGAAAGGTATTTGCACATTTTTTCAAAACAACAGCGAAGGTTTTTGTTAAGGTCAAAACACTAGGGAGTTTCATAGGATTGTTAGAAAACCCAAGGAGGTTTTTGTAATTTTCCTTATTTTTAAATGGAATTTAAATTGATTTTATAAATAACTAAATTATATTTAAAATTAATATATTTATCAATTTTTGAAAATTAGTAAAATTTGAATTTACTTAAGTATGTTAAGTTTTTATTAAATTTAAATTTCATATGAAATTTAATTAACTATATATATTTTGATAATTTTATGGAACTTAAGTTGGTTTTAAATTAATAAAATTTAATTATAAACTAATAATTGTATGATAATTTTGTATTATTTTTATATTAATTTTGAATCAATAGTAGTTTTTAATTTATCTTGTTTCTTTTATTAATTAAATTCTTTTTATTATATTAATAAAAATCTTTTTATCAATAACAATAAGTAATAATTATTATTTTTTTATTTAAATAAGTACCTAAATTATTTTTATTATGGTTAATTAATTTTTATTATTTTAAAATGGAATATACTTTTAAATGTAAGTAAATTATTTAGCACAATAATATATCATTAAATATCTCAATTTCAATATAATTAATCTTTACTAATAATTACAGATTAATACAAATATATCTAATATATATATATATAAAGGTGATTGGTCACTTGAGTTATTTTGTTCAATTTTAAAATTAGAAAATTCAAAAAAAAAATAGAAAAAAGATAGTTGCCTTTGAGAATAAACCAGAAAAAAAAAGATAAATGGCACTTGGCACATTCCACTTTAATATATAGATATAGATACACAACCTGTCAATTACCAAGAAAACAATAAACATAAATTATAGAAAAAAATCCATGACATGTTTGTTATAGAACCTCTTGAAAGAAACAGTCCATTGAAGACTTGGGATCTATGTTTGCATTGGTAATGGTATGTAATTTTGTATTTCTTGCACAACAGAAAATGATAAAAAGCTTAAAAGAAGGCATTTATGATAGATAGACAATAATTTCCATCCAACCCTATATGTAGTTGAGGGAACACCTGTTGAAACCAAATTATATAAGATATTATGGAGAGATTATCAAATTACAAAAGTTCATGATATTATGATAGATATCATGAACTGCATTTGAATACTAACAAAGAATTTTTTTTTTCCGGATTCATTAGGATGCAGCAAATTCTTATTCCAAATTAATCCTTTATGTTTAAATAATTCACACCACCCAAATGATTCTATTCCTTTGAGAGTGAAACTATCAATCAATGTTATTCATTATCAAAGAAAACAACCTTAAATATGAACTCAAAGGATTAATCTTGATATGCTCTGTCCTAAGAATAAAAGGAAAGATTCACTACAAGAAAAGTTGTAAGAAAAGTGAATCCAAAGGATTACTAAGGCTCAGTTTGGAAGCAGTATAAATGCAAATATGTACAGCATAAATACATACAAAATGATACAAAACATAAGGCTTTGCACTCTACATATTTGCATTTGTACTCCTTCCAAATTCAGCCTAAAGGTCTAAACATATTCTTACATATATGCTAAAAAATAATAAAATTAAACTATATATACTAAGTTATAAGACTTTAAGAGATGAGAAGTTATAAGGCTTTTAGGACTAAATAAAAGTGAAATCATATTGTTGGCTTGACATGGATGTGGATTAATTGTGCTGTGTTTGGTTGCAGATTCTATTTGTATTAGTACAAATGTATAGGAGTGCAAATGAAAAAAAAATGCAAAATTTAGTTAATTTCGTTTTGGATTTTACTTTATTCTACTCTAGGTCTTATTTTACTTCATATATACTGCAACCAAACAAAGTAAGGTAAAATTTGAGACAAAAATATATCAAAATTTACACCCAAAACATTTGCACTGCCATAGTTTTGCATCAGTGCAAATAAATTTGCATTGCAACCAAACACATCATTAGGAAAACTTGGATAAGATATATACACCAAGGATGGATTGGAATGAAGGTGCAATCAAAGGTTAATCACTTCATTATGCAATCACAAAACATCTTTTACAAGAGTAAAGATAACCCTATTTAATTGACTTAATTATTGAGCATGCTTGGCATAACCCATGCATGGGATGATGGGAAGCACAAAATGTTGCTAGTGTGTGAGTGAGTGACAGAGAGAGAAAGCGAGCTCAGTAGAAGTTGTGAGCTGAATAGATAATGGATCAATCTAGAGACTACTTTTTCTTCACCAAATTTTCTATCCCACTAAGGAAGATCCGAAATTCTTATGGAGCAAAAATACTGCTTTTCTATCTAGTATACAAAGAAGATCAAGAAGAGCTTCCAACCCACACAATGGCCATCACTACACTAACATCCAAACTCTCTTACCAACAAACCACTAGCCACTGTAGCAAAATCAAATGTAGATAAGCCTTCTTAGTGTTGTCTCCATATGATCCAATGCAGACAAGCCTTCTTAACTCCACTTTGGAATATAAGAACCGAGATAGGCTTCGGTCAATGCAAGTCCGTGCTCACACTGTGCCAATAGCCTCTATCAACCTTGCATTGGGAATATCTTCCGATGAAATAAAGCACATAAATACGGAGATATTTTCAATGCAAAGCTATAAAGGCTGTTTGAATGGGCCTTGTCCTGACCAAAGCCAAATTCATAAGAATCTGTCTGAAATTCCAAACTTTAGGTATTTGTTGTGCTTCTTTTAAAGCCTTGCCTTGTTTCATAAAATCATTTAGTTTTGGGTCATCTATGGTCTTTCTTATGTCTGACTACTGTCCAGCTTACCGTCTCAGGTTGCTCTTCAAACAACTGCTCACAATGAAGGTGATCACGTGGACAACTCTATGGGAGACAAAAAATGAATATAAATAGAAAACATATGATCAATTTTATTTAAGTAAAACATATGATCAACACCATAGGAAACAAAAATGGCTAATTTTATATAGGCTTCATTTGGAAAGAGTATAAATACAAATATGTAGAGTGCAAAACCTTATATTTTGTATTATTTTGTATGTATTTGTATTGTACATATTTGTATCTATACTCTTTCCAAATTGAGCCTTAGGTAATTCTTACCATAAAACATATGATCGAATTTAAGACAAAAAATGAATATAAATATGAAAATTTCTATAAATAAATATATTGTACCTTTAATATATAAAATATTGCAAATAATTTTAGTATGCATGTATATATTAACTAATTTAGATAAACATAAAATAAAATTTAAAAAGACATAAGGCTTATATAAAAAATATATAAATTCTATTACCACTACTAAAAATGAGAATGATTAATGGCTCTTTGTTAACACCCTGATTTTTATTTGCAAATTTACCCCTATTATAGCCCTAAAAAGATGAATACGTGGACATCCAAATTCTCCACGTAATGGTTACCCTATTAAGGTAGTCATAATGTTGGTTAAATTTTTATCAAATATCGATGTGGCTGAACCATGGTTACCTGACCGGAAAAACTGGAAATCATTCAAGTGACCAATTCCGTTTTATCCTAAAACCATTATTTCCCCCAAAACCATAGATTTGGTCAGCAAACCATTGACCCGGACAGTCAAACCGTTCAAACCGTTCAATGGTTTGACCAGTTTTTTTTTATTTTTTTGTCAGAGCAGGTCATTTGTTCGCTTCGAATGGTCGAACCATTCGACCCGGGAACTAAACCCCTGACCGATTTGTTGTTCGGGTCGCTTTTTAAAAACCTTGGGCTAAACAACTCCCACATTACTCTGGATTGTTTTCATTATATTAAATGGAATCAACTCACCATGATAAGTTCAAAATTTCTCCTTCAAGGATGAACTTAATTGATAAGTTGAATGGATGTATCTCCCCATTTTAAATAAAAATGTGATCATATTTATAAAAATCCTCCAAATTTGAACCTAAATAGGAGTGTAGTATGTTATAGGATTTGAATGCTATTTCGTTTTACACAACCAATTTAGAATCCAAAATAAGAGTTCACTCAACAAAGTAGTTAGTTTATTATTTTTTTTTTATTTTGCCTAAAATTCTAAAATTTGATTTAACTTGCACTCTCTTTTGATTACTCTTTTATGCTGATTTTTTTTTGTTAATTTGTTTTGGGTGTATAGCATTTTATATGAGAGAAAAGTAATTATACAACCCTATAAGTTGAAACTAAAATAATGGTTTGACTCTTCACTTTTAAACAGCTTTGGGAAGACTACCACTTTTGTTTTGATATAGTCGTTTTGGGCTAGTAACTATAAAATAAAATAAGTTGTATCTATATACATAAATATTATACATACATATATACAAACATTACATTATATACATATAAATATAAAATTATAAATTTTATACCTTTGGGTCTTATGCCTCAAATCGGCTTACGCTTGGCTCTTCAACACTTAGCTGTTGGGGCCAACACAGCCTAGGCTGTTAAAACAGTTTTTAGGAATGCCACATTACCATGAGAATGGATAAATTATTAATTATATATTAATTTATTTTTACTAAAAATTAATAATTACATATTAATTTATTTTTACTGTTGGGCCCAACAGCCAAAGTTAACCCCTCAATTACTCATGTAAAGGGTATAGTAGTTTCTACCAAATAAAAAAAAAAACAAAAAAAGTAAGGGTATGGTGGGAAAATAAATGGAGGGTTTTGCAGAGCAGCTTACTTGGATGTAAGCAGAGAGGCTAGGGTTTGAGCGGTTCAATTTTCGGATAAGCGGCGAGGTGCCCTTGTCATTGCCGGGCCAGGGTTTTGCATCGAGCAAATTTTGAAGAGCACAGTTCAGGTTAAGCTCTACTCTGAGTCCTTCAAAATTGGTGTTTCAGTTTTTCTTCCTTAAAGACCTCCCATGTTCGTTTCGGTGCTATCACATTTCTGATTTGTCGTTGTTATTGGAACTTAAGTTTTAAGCTGGTTATAGTTATAGCTTGATGTTGCTTGATTGTTTGGACTGTTCCGTCGGATGCAAATAATTGGGGAAAATTGCAGGTCGGTTAGGTTTAGCTGTTCGAACTTTTTCTATTAGACATTGCATGCCGCTGCATTCTTCAGTTTTTGCTTGATACATATCAGGCATTACCATGTGTATCTGTGTGGTTAAGCGACTAACTTGGTTTCAAGTTTAACCGGCGAATCTTTTGATTTAACCTCCCTGTATACGTGTGTGTGCTCATCTGAACTTCTGTTTATTAAAAGGCCGAGAAAGTTATTTTGTCCTCTCGATGTACGTTTTCTTGTATTTGTCAAATCCAAGCTTGGTATTTGGTTCGCAGTTGGAATCAGAATCGGAATGGTTCTGTTTGGTTCAGATAGGAATTGGAATGGGAATTGGAACCAGATAGAGTGGGATTTTATTCCAAAGGGAGGGAGAGAGAATGTTTATTCCCTCAAATGGGGAATGCCATTCCACTAGGAACGGTAATGGGTTTCCATTCCGCTCAACCAAACAGTTGGAATCAGAATGACCCATTCTAATTCCGATTCCAGACCTCTATTCCTGCGAACCAAACAGGTCCTTAATTGATCTTTCTTTGTCATTTTGTAATGTAAGATTGAAGTATCAGCTTTTGGTTAAATTTACTTGAAGGGAATACGGGGTACTTTTTAGTGTTTCAGATAAGTTTTAACACATGTATCTTATTTAGCAATAAGATTGACTAGACTTACAATCTTTACCATATGTTTTGTTGACAAGGTTAACATTTTCTTTTTTGTATTTTTATTTGACTTTCAATTCTGTCATGTTGTCCATTTAGAACTTACATGCCTTTGTTATTGCCATTTAATTATCGAGCCTGGTATACATTTCCATTAACTGTGCTTATGCTATAGTTTCCATTCCCCTTCCAAAACACCGTTCGTTCTCATTTTTGTTTCGAGACTTCTGTTTGTATGGTGTGGTTTGCTAATTTTTGGTTCGTCTTTTTTTGTTTACCAAGCATATATACACTGCGTCGATGCGTCCAAAACAAAAGGCATCCAACCATCTTTGTGTAAAATCTTACTGTAATGTGTACGATTACATGGTTTCAAACTGTCATACTGAATGGTTGAGTCACTAACATTTGATCCACCCGACTTAATGGTTCACTTAGGGAACATATGTCAAAAGCTTGCCATAACCTTTGAGATGTCCAAATTTCTGATGTAGGGTGGGTGGGTCTCCTAGGCACTCTAGCATTGGGGTTTTGTGAAAGATTAGTGATCAGGTTAAGATCTTGTGTGAAACCATCAAAATGGTGTTTTATTACTGGGGCTTTGTTTTAGCTTGGTTCTTTTAACAGTTAATAATTGTCTGCCTTCTATGTAAGATGGGTCTGCCTTTTGATTTGGTTTAATCTGTGCTTAGGATTATTAGGTTTTGTTAGACCTTTCAGGTGCATGTTGGGTGCCTAGTTGCATAGGTGGGTGCTTAGTTGCTGTAAATCAAGGCATTAAGGTGAGGTACCCAACCAACACCTTGACAACTATGCTATACTTATTAGGTTTAATGTTTATAAAGGATTAGGTCTTCTAGGCTGTATTTTTATCAAAGTTTTCAAGGTGCCTAGGTGACTTTTGGAGAAAGTGGGTTGTCGGTTGCACAAGTGATAAGAATTTTATAAAATGAAAAACTAAATTTTGGTTAGTTCCCTAGTTTTTTTATACCAATGAGCATGCATATTAATTGAAAGTAGCAATTCTGTTTATTAAAAACATTAAATTTCTTCTCAAAACATGGAAAATCATCATATCTTAAAAGGCAATAGTATTTTAAATATATTTCCCACTTATTACCTATCCACCTTTAAAATTCCAGTAAAAATAGCTAAGCAACTAGAAAAAATGATATGGGATTTTTTGTGGGAGCCAATGAGGAAAAGAAAGATCATTTAGTGAAGTGGGAACAAGTGTGTAAATCTAAGGAGCAAGGAGTTTGGGTATTGGGTATCTGATTAAGAGGAATACAACTCTTCTAAGAAAGTTGAGAAGCATTCATTATGTAGCAGACAATTGCCGGAATGCAAAACTTGCGTCTTACACTGCTTCAAATTCCCCTTGGAAAGTAATCTTTGAGGTACTGCCTACCTTTCTCAATTTTATATGTTTTGATGTGGGCTGTGGGAATAGTCTTATTTTGGGAAGATCTCTCTGGCTTGGGGATCTTCTACTTAAAGCTCAATTCCCTATACTCTATTCATTAAGAAACCTTAAGAATGAACCTGTTTCTAGATTTGGCTTGCCCTAAGTACATGGCTTAAATTGGAACTATGGGTTCAGAAGGGGTTTAAGGGATAATGTGTGAATCACTTATCATCATACTCTCACTTTTGGAGAAAGGTCTTTTTGGATGAAAACCTCTTGGATGGTATAGTTTGGTACCCCTCAACTGATGGCCTCTTCTCTTGTGTTTCCTTCTTTAACCTTTTCATCAATTCAAAACCTTTGGGGGTGAATTTCCTTGTGAGAGAAATTTGGTGCAAACCAATTCCTCCTAAAATACTTGTTGGGAAATATTCCTTGAAAAGATTAACACCTATAGCATGCTATAGAAAAGAAGGTGAAACAATTGCCTTTGTCCTCATGTGTGTCTCCTTTATAAGTCTTGTGGTGAGACTTTTCTTCATTTAATAATCTCCTGTTCTTTTGTGACTTGTATTTGGGATTACTTCTATTATCTCTTTGGCTGCAGATCAGTTCCCCCACAAGATGTGGTTAGTTTATTCAGCTTCAGTTTCTTGAGGCAATAAAAGAAAAGGGGAGGATGCTTGTGGAGAATAACAAGAGCAATCCTGGTATGGATTAACAGGGAAGAAAGAAACCAAAGGATTTTCCAGGAGAAGAGTAAATCTAAGAAGGAAGTGGTTGAAACTGTAATGGTCAGATCTGCACATGGCAACAACAATGAAAATCTTCAGAGATGTCTACAAATGACTTATTATGGAAATGGGCTGAAGTGGTACAAATAGATACATAGAAAGAAGCAATGAGAGTGGAATGGTTACCTCCGGGGCCAAATAAGCTGAAACTAAACTTTGATGCCACCTCTTTTGGCAATCAAGGGAGGCCAGGTATAGGGTGTCTTTAGAAACCATCAAGGAGCAGTAGTGGCCTTAGTCTTGGGGCCAATTGGTTTTGGAGACTCGGTTAAGGATGAAATAATGTCTCTCTTACAAGGGCTAAAACTAGCAATATGGTTAGGTGTTAGAGAGCTAGAAGTAGAGGGTGACTCTTTGTTCATTTCGTGGGTGAAGCAAGCCAAACAGGTTGCTGATGTGGACGCCGGCAGCAGCAGCAGTAATTTAGTGCAGCAGCAGCAATTTAGTGCAGCAGCAGCAATTTAGTGTTCTCAGCAGCAGCAATTTAGTGTTCTCATCCTATCTTACCTATTCAGTATTCTTACCTTATCTGCTTTCAGTAGYAGGGATTAGTAGGAGTCTTATCTATTYAGTGTTCTTATCTTATCAGTTCAGTAGTATGGATTAGTAGGGAGTCTTATCTTATCTTATCAGTTCAGTAGGATAGATTAAGGGAGTCTTATCTTATCAGATTAGTAGGGAGTCTTCCTAATTAGCAAGGAGTCTTCCTAAAAGTAGGACTCTTATCTCTTGTAATCTCCTATTTAAGGATCTGAGAATATTGAATAAAATCATCGAAAATTTCAGTCAAGAAAGAGAGCAAGGAGAGTTAGGTGATCTCTTGGCAAATCACCATTAAGGCGCCAAGATAGGTTCATCAAGAGCAGGGAGGAACAAGGGAAAACAAGAGGTTTTCCCTGTGGACTGATCCGTGAGGAGATCCTATTCGCGGGCCCATAACAGTTGCGGATTGATCCATTTTATTTTAGACAATATTGTAATCTGTAATAGCAAAAAGGGGGGATGACAAACCCAAATAGTGTGGACAAGCTTCTTTTCTAACGATTTTTTGGGCTATTTTGTAGCTAAAACCATGTATTTATCTCAGACATTAATTAATGAATTTATTTGCTGATAAAAAAGGTTACGGAATTGCAAGGTACCAATCAGCTGGTTGGTAAGGTCTCCTGCGGGTCGTAGCGGAGACTTGGGATCAAATCCCTCCTGCACTTGGGTTGGGTGATGGATTTACACCCCCCGTTGTGTAGCCCTTCAAAAGATACAGAAAAAAAGGTTACGGAACTTAGATGATGCAGAGGGATGTGGTACCTATTTGGAAATTTTTAGTCCATAACATAACCGCATGCTATTTTCTGAAGATCTTGATTAGCCTTGTTGAATGACATTCTCTTATTTTGGTTTTGGTTAGCTGTTTTGCATTCTTGGTTTTGTTGAGCATCGACCTTTTCTCTATATTGGTTCTGTTTGTTCTGTTACTTATTTATTTAAACTTTAAAGTGCAAATACTTATGATATTATAATAGCATAGGTTATTCTAGCACCCTGAGAAATTGTTAATTTGCAGATGAATCGCGAAAAGCTTATGAAAATGGCTGGTGCAGTTCGCACTGGTGGAAAGGGTAGCATGCGAAGGTGTGTTGAATACTATTTTGTTTCTTACTATTCTTTTAAAGTATGTTTGATGATCCTTAGAGTTTAAAATGTATCTTGTGATTTTTTAAAATGAGGCCAGAGCAAAGGTTCTGCCCTTTCATAATAAGACTTTCTAGAGCAAACCGATTTGGTTAGCTAATTTCTTTTATTGTTGGAGATTAGTAACTTCCAGAATTTTATACTGCACAACTACAAATGGATTTGTGCTCTTCAATGAATAGCCCACCTCATGGATGGGTTGGTCATCTTGAATTTGGTTGCTTAACCTACTTTTAATGCAAGCTGTTTGTGAAATGTTGCCACTTGTCATATTACTTGGATGCATGGTGCTATTTAAAAACAACAAACTCTCAGAAGTCTTGTTTCTTCCTTGCTATGGGTTGTGTTTTACATAACTTTTGGATTTACCTGGCTTTTTTTATGTAAAGAAATTTGGTTTATCATGCCTGTTTTTACACACTACTATTTTTATATAGTTTTTAATCTACTTTATGTTAGCAAATTCAATTTGTATAGAACTTTCACATAAACTAATTTTCTAAGATTTAATACATATAACAAGTTGTCAGTACTTGAATTTATTGACGTAAATGTTTCATACAGCTGTTAACAGTTATGTGCAACCCATTGTGTGCACAACTGTTTGATAATGTGTTCATCTTCTTGACCTGCCAGTATTATAATGGGAAAACAGTTTCTTCCATAGAAGCATTGAATGCAAAGTTTCCTTGAAGAATTCAATGAGTGGTGCAAATGTCATGATGGTTTTTTGCTAGGTATCCTTGGCTGGGCGTCTCACCTGAAAGCCATGATTTATGGCAACAAGGCACCTGTCTCGGCAACTAGGCTTCTGCCTAGGCAATAAAGTGCCAGCCTAGGTGACAAATGACAAAGCATATGCCTTATTATAATATTATTGATAATGCTACACCTTACTGAGATGTCTGTTAATACATTTATTATATATTATATATATCATTTATACTTTGTTTTGAAGTTCCACTATTGAAATTTAAAAGAACCATGGGTGTTGAGAAGAGAAAAAGAAAGAAAGGAAGTATAAAGAAGTTGCTTTGTTTTTGTTTGTTCTATTTTCTTCCTTTGTCTTACATTAAATAAATCAACGGGTCCTTCCTTGTTATTTTTTTTTCTTTTACTTTTTATCTTAAATTTTATCATATAAAATTATAGCCTTCTTTAGTTGCTAATTTGATATGAAATTCGTCTATTTAATAGTTATTATATTAGTATTACTTTTGAAAATATTGAAACTAATAAATTTGAAATACTACTGTTCTAAATATGATGATTTGCTATGTTTAGTCATTGGTTGGTTGAAAAAGAAGGGCTATATAGTCAAGACAATTGCAAATTCTTGTAAGATGGGTTAGGAGGTCTGCTAATGGCTTGGCAGATGGATTAACTAAGCAAAGACTAAAGAGTGTATAGAAATCATTTGTTTTGGCCTCAATGTTAAAAGGGTGGTGAGTCTTTTTGTTGTAAAGGGTTCTATTCCTAACAACTTCTTGTCGTATTCTCTTTTACTTTTAAGTTTTAATAAAATTCTTTGAGCTGCTGATAAAAAAAGATGCTTTGCCATGCTATGAGGTGAAATCTAATTCTCTTAATAAAGAGAATTGGTACTTTTTTCAATTAATATGCATGCTCAATGGTATATAAAACTAGGGAACTCACCATGGTTTGAATTTTTATTTTATTAAGTTCTTATCACCTACACTTTGCCTTGATACCTGCTCTCCATTGTTGTGCAGAATTGCCTAGACTAGACAACTATGTTCCCAGCTACCTCCAAGAATTGGCTACATAGTCAGAAGTTTACATATTTTCTTTAAAATCTATTGCAATTGTCTGTCAACTAACTGTAATTGATGGAAATGAATTGGGTTTAATGAAGGGGAAGGCTCTATGATATTTGATTATTTGTCTTGGAAATTGAAACTGATTTCCTTTTTGTTTGCAACTCTTGGTTTCTGTTCTTTAGTTTTTGCAAATATCATTTTATTTGCTGTAGACCTGTATCTGGTTTTTAGACTTGTCTGTTGTGTTTATGAACCATGTATTATGTTTTTTTTTTTTTTTTATAATTATCATGTATTATGCTTTTGGTTACAGAAAAAAGAAGGCGGTTCATAAGACTACAACCACAGATGACAAAAGGCTTCAAAGTACCTTGAAAAGAATAGGGGTGAATGCTATCCCTGCTATTGAGGAAGTCAACATTTTTAAGGATGATATAGTCATCCAGTTTTTGAACCCTAAAGGTAATACTATATGTTCAAGAATGTGCTATATATTTTCCGTTATGGGCCTCAAGGCATTTTTCTTGAGCCATTCCTTGATATAAGCCTCAAGGCATAAGCCTTCTGTGGTTTTTAAAATACTGGTGATAACCCACCATGAAGAGGGCCTTAAAACATTTATCAACTATTGCCAACTTCATATGCTTTCTCATTCTAATACTTACTTTTCTCCTATTTCAGTTCAAGCCTCGATTGCTGCCAACACTTGGGTTGTTAGTGGCTCTCCTCAGACAAAAAGTATTCTTTACAACTCTCGTTATTTAGAACAATGCAGTTTTCTCTTTGTTGAATTTCAGTATGTGCAAATATGTCATGAATTGCTTCACAAGAATGTGATCGTTCTCGGATTTATGTGCTAAGCCTGCTATTTTATGTTGTTTAATTTTGTTATCATACCCTGACAAATATGTTTGTAATATTCATGTCTGGTTAATGTGATACATATTTATTGGAAAGATCAGGTACCGTTTGTTTAAAAGGGGCTTTGCACAAAAGATTCACTAGGCAAAGCCACCTATAGAGTGAGTTGTTGTATTAGATGACCTATACAAAAGCAAACAACTTAACAGGTATTCAAAAATGTATATATCTTTTAAAATTAGGCCCAGGTTATCAAGAGGGGTATCTACAAACTCCTCCCTCATGGAGAACCACAACCTAATTCTAATATTGTTCCTCATCAGTTCATCTTCCTGAGGGAATATCTGTGGAAGATCATCGACTTGCAGTCCCTCCAAATAGACCAAATTATACCAGTGAGAATGACCTTCCATAGAGGCCTGCCCTCCTAACACTGGCACAACTTGAGAGCATTTAAAAAGTGCCACCAGGATCTATTTCTGACCCAACAATGTAGAAGCAGATGGTCACATGATTCAAGCTCACAATTACGGAACTCACAGCCTTTGTGTTGGATTCCATGCCCCTCTTTATCATCTTATCCTTGGTGAGACATTTGACTAATGCTACAGTCCACACCAAGAAGGCAAGTCTTTATTGGTACATTTGCTTTCCATTCAATTTTACTTGGGAAATCAGAATGCTTAGGTTCTATAATCTGCCTCCTGATTGAGAAACATCCACTGTGCTCCCATCCACTGTGCTCCCATATATGGATGCTGTTAATTGTCATCATAATGTTGTGGGTTGCTGACCTCTTCCAGCTTCCAGTTTTGAAGGTTTCTGTGAAATTTGGGTACCCCAAGTGCACTATCAGCATGATCAAATGATGCCTTCTGATTGGCAGCGCCTGCAAACAGGTTTTGAAAACAGAGTTGCAATGGGCTCATCCCGCACCACACATCATTCTGGAATGACTCTGGAATCCCTCCCCACCTTGAATTTTGCCTCAGCAGCAGAACCTTTATGAACTTTTTCAATACTCTTCCAAGATGAGCAACCAAGGTTGTTTGTCTGAATTTGGATGCCATCCTCCCCAACTAGAGCCAAACTTGGACTTTTTTTATTCCCTTTTGAAGATGAGCTTTTAGGAAAGCTTACCTTGATTCCCTTTCCAACTGGAGACTGATTCACTGCTTGGAATGTCCTAGTTCCCAACCCAACAGCAGATTTGGGAAAGCACACCTTACTCCAATCAACAAGGTGAAATTGGGCTCCTCTTTTCAAGCTGAGCTTTTACCCCCTTTGGCCAGTATTGGGAGGAGAAAAAAGGTATTAAATTTGATGGTTAGCTAAAGTGCTTGTGATTAAGGTGTTACCTCCTTTAGACAGTTAAGAGAAAGGTCTTTGCTAGAGTGCTTCTGAGCTTGCCCCCATTAGACAGGTAAAATGTCTTCCCAGATGCCAGTTTTATATCCAGAAATCTGCTCCAACACTGGAACCCAAATTGAATAAGATGATTCCTTAGCTCCCAATGGTATGCATAAATGTTTAATGGAGATTTTGTCTTGCTATTATTCACTTAATCCCAGAATATGATCTACTTGTACAATAAATGTTTATAATAATGCTTTCTGTTGGCTATGACTGCTTAAGTTTGTTATTTATCTTTCTGTAAGTGAGGGGAGGGGCCACCATCCTTACTTGTGGGCAAGCCATTATATGCTCTCTGTTTATTTTATATAGTTGCAGGAACTATAACATGACCTTTTCTATTACAGAATTGCAAGATCTTCTCCCAGGGATCATCAACCAATTGGGTATGTGCCTTTTTTATCTTTTGTATTCCAAATTCATGTGTTATTTATCCAATGTTCTTTATGTCATGACTGTATTGAAAGGTGCTATTATTTGATTGATAACATTTGATTTCAATATTTCATGGTTCTACCCTTTGACATCCAGATACTGAACACCACCATACCAGTGTCTAACAGGATACATACCTGTATGACACTGGCACTGCCTGGAACCTTCTATATTATAAAACATCAACTCTTTTAGAGTATATTTTATAGTACTGAGATTTTTTAAATTTGTACATCTTTATGTTTTAATAAATCATTGTAAAGACGATCATGCATTTTAGAAGTTTGATTAATTTGTACAAGTTATAAATATTGAGGAGTGACACTGTTGACCGATTTTGTGCATGAAATGTGAAACACAACAATTGAAATAGAAAATGTATTTTTTGACATAAAATAAAAGAAAATAAGATAAAACTTTTTCCTTCTTCTCTTGAGTATAATTCCTCTGATCCTGTTGTCAATGCAGTCGGGATCCTTGGTGTCTTTCCAATTCAATAATTTGGATGTAAAATCTAAAATGTGGTTTCTCTTGTACTAGGGCTTCAAGCTTGATCTAAAATGAGAATCATGTTCTTGCACTGTTTGTTGCTGCCCATGGTGTAGTATGCAAAAAATAGTAAACTTCTATGTAAAAAGATTTGAGGCTTCAATATGAACTAACCACTCATATATTGCTTAAGTATGTTGTGTGTGGAGCTACCCTTCTTTTATGCTTTAACTTACAGCAAGCAAGGAGAAGATTTTGGACACTTGGTCCAGTGTTTGAATGTCCCTTTTTTCAATATGTATCTTTCTTTTTGTGTCCCTTTCAGTAACAATTCTGTAGTCTGTACTTAAATGGGTTCTTGCACATATGAGGCAAGAAATGAAAGAGTGATACTGTGATAGCTCATCCAAAAGCTCTACTTTCAGACAACACTGATGTTGGTAACTTGGACCAGTGTTTGAATGTCCCTTTTGTGTCCCTTTCAGTAACACTTCTGTACTTAAATGGGTGCTTGCACATGTGAGGCAAGTAATGGAAGAGTGATAGCTCATCCAAAAGCTCTACTGTCAGGCAACACTGATGTTGATAACTTGTGGAAAGTGGATTTTGCTTTCTAAGCATGCATGGATGGTCCTCACTTTGGAGATTGAATTGCTTTTCAAGTGGTTATGCTTAGGTGGAAAGAATCAAGAATGCACAAAGGAATGCTTTTAGTTTAGAGGGGTTCATTTTCATGACATTTTAACTTTCAAGAAGTCCATTTTTGTGAGAAATGATTTGTTAGAAAATAGGTGTGCTCGGTGATGTAGGATGGGAAGGAGAAAATGTCTCATGATCTTCATGTTGTGAGAAATAGAGGGCAATCAGATCTGAAATGGGATAAGGTAAAGAAAAGCAAAAGGGTTTCAGATTTTGAATATATTGGTGGGGGGAGTGAATTAGCACTTCTCCAAAGAAAAAGAGTAAAAGGGAGTGACACATTACAAAATAGCTCTATAAAAGTTCCTATATAATAGAAGAAACATATTTCTAGACTTTAGAGGAGGGATTGGCTACACCACTTGTTCATAAGCTCTTGGTCTCTGATCATATTTGTCAGTCTTTTATGAGTAACAACAATATTTATTAAATTTGCGATATAGAGTTATATGCTTGTGGCTACAACATAGACATTAGGGTGGTCAATACATAAGCTGTGTACCGCCAAGGGTTCCCCCACTTCACTAAATAAAGTATCCCCCTCCCACCCCCTGAAAGAAATCTTCACTTTTCACCCCTTGTTTTGCCAATGCATTTGCGAACCCATTAGCTGATATTTCTGACAGATGTCAATAAGCATTTTATTAATAATCAATCAAGAGGGTCGGTTACCATTCATAAAAAAATCAAGAGGGTTAGATACGTAATGAAAACTTCCCACATTGAAGCACGAGATGCAACCTCTGAAACACAATATAATTACAATTAAGCCCAAAATAATTGGTCCTTGTACATCCCTTGCTTAGCTAAAGAATTTGCCAGTGGATTTGCTGATTTCCTTTCCATTGCACTCTCACCTTTAAATTTGAGGTTAACCACTTGAATTTTCCCATGGCCCCCTTAAAGGACCAAGGTACAGTCTCCAGTTCTTTCAGCAATCTGATTACCTATTTAGAATTGCCTTCAATCCAGCAACCTCCCAAGATTTTGTTCTCTAGCAACTTGTACTCCCTGTAAAACTTCTCCGACCTCTGCACTCAGCATCCCCCACTCCAATAGCACCAGAGAATAAGACAACGATCTGATCGTCTGCATTTCTGAAAACTCCCCCTATACTAGAAGGTCTAGGATTACCTAGGCTGTTACCATTAAAGTTCAGCTTCATAAAACCTTATTCTCAGGGCTTCCAATCCACAACAGGCTTGTTCTTAATAGTAGAGCTTTTTTGCAATCAATGCTCAATTTCACCAAATGTCTGCACAAGAGAAATTTGAGAAAAGGTCCAATACTTTAGCCCAATTAATAGCCATGTTAAGTATGCAATTCCAAACAGTATATTCTTCCTTCTCTTATATCATTAAAAATATTAGCATTTCTTTCCTCCACACCAAAGCAACCCTAGCACATCTCCATAAAACTCCATGTCTTCTCTTAGGTCATCTGAAGGTCATAGGGTCGAGAGGGCAACCAATCTGCCAAGGCACAATCCACCTGCAACCAAAAAGACGAAAAGGCTTTTCCCAAAGTCCTACAACCAAAGGGTAGAAGATTAGTGGGTCATAACAACTTTCTCCATGAGTTTTGCAAAGGATACATATTAAGACCAGGTCTTCTCTTTTGCAGATTGTCTAGTGTTTGGTTTCCTAAGAGAGACTTCCCAACAAAGAGCTTCCAACTTGTGAGGGATGGGTTTGGTCCAGATTTCCTTACAATAAAAAGGCCGCGGGGTGAGGGTTAGAGCACAACATAGAGGGAAAAGAAACACAAGAAAACAGTCCTAGAGGGTTAGGAGTCTAGATTTGAGTATCAAGTTTAGAGGGATCCTAATAAACAGAATAAAGAATTTTGAGGAGCAATGTTGTCTTGCCAACTTCAAAGTTTCTCAAGTCCTTTCTAAAACCCAAGTTCAAACAAAAACCAAAAGACTAAGAGAAAAATACAAACCTCTGAATGGGTTCATTTTTGAGGAGGGAAAGGGAGTACCAGGAAGTAACTAAAAAGGTCCTTGAGGGTGGAGTTACCAATCCAGATGTCCTCCCCAAAGAAAACCCTATCTCTAATACACATGTCATACCTGATGAGGTGTAGGAACTAGGAAGAATGCCATTTAGAACATTCCACAGAGAGTTCAAAGTGGCCTGCTGAAGCATCCTAACCAGTACTTTGTGTCCATGACTACTTCTTGCAACCTTTTAGGGCATAGCCTCTCCCTTTCTAGAGGCCATCTTAACAGCCATTACCCAACAAAGCTTCGTTCTTGTTCCCTACAGTACCTATTTCCCAAACTCTCTTGTTCCTTGGTTCTACACTAATTCCCATCTAGCCAGATAATCCTTTATACCTTCATTGGGCTCTTATAGGAAATCCCTCATAATCGTCTCTACTTTCAACACCTCCCTTTGTGACATCTTAAAAATGAAAAGGAAGTAAATTGGCATAGACTGCAGACATAGAATGCAGGTCCTCTGTTACCCCTACTTTTTCCTGTTCCTAACCAGTTTTCACTTACCTTGCCGATACAGTTTGAGAATCTTGGGGAGTAACCACGTTTGCATTACCGTCGTTAACCCAGAGAAAATATTTTCAATCAAAGCACCACCACACATCACTGCTACCTGGTTGAGAACATGGTCAGTCCAAAGGTTGAATGGAAGTTCGACAATTCTGATGATAAAACTTCCATCACCGACATCTACTTCATTACATGAAGGGTTCCAGTTTTCTATCACTGCCTTTCTGAACCAGGTATTCACCATGGAAATCTCCTCTTGAGTTTCCCTGGAGTCGAGGATGGCGGCATTCCTATCACTGCCTTTCTGAACCTGCCTTTTATTAGCACTGGTTTAAACATGGGAGTGCAACTCTGAAACAATGATAAACTCTAGAATATGCACATTTAAATTTCCTGATGCCAATATTTTTGGTGGAGAACTTTAGATTTAAATCATGGTTTTACAGCAACATTTGGTTACCAGTTTATTTTCTTGCTCCTATTTGAATGTTGGTGTCAGATGTTTTCATTCTAGGGAGATGATCAATGTCTTCACTTTGTACTCGTGTGAATTTGCCTTTTTGATGGTTCCTCGTATAACTTACAGGGCCAGATAACCTGGACAATCTGAGGCGGCTTGCGGAGCAGTTTCAGAAGCAGGCACCGGGAGAAGTTGCAACACAGGAAGATGATGATGAGGTCCCAGAACTTGTTGCTGGAGAGACATTTGAAGCTGCTGCTAATGAGGCTCCTTCCTCTTAGAGATTGTCTTTCGGAAGCAATCAATTTCTTTTATTTTTTTTAGTCTTACAAAATTGTGGATTTATTTTTAGCGACAGGCCAGAAATTGATATTGTTCACTTCACGAGATAAGCCTCATGCAAATGGTCTAAGCCATCTATAACGTGCTTCAAATTTTGTGTGGCAACCGGCAGGTACTTTATTTTGTATTGCCTCTTCCATTAGAGATCTTTTCTTTTTTCTTTTTTTTTTTTTCTGTAATCTTCTATTAGCATTAGAGCTTCTGTATGTGATACTGTGGTTATTTGTATTCCCAAATGCTCTCCAATGATCCGATCAACCTGAAAAAGGCCTTACCCACGAGCTCTTTATATTTGAATCTGAATTTTATTATTTGAACGATTAATGGATCAAGTTTGGATTTAACATTTAATTGCATCCGATTGGAAGACAATGGAAAAAAAATTATCAATAAAAAACTAGCTAGAAATTACTCCGATATTGAATATCATGATTGTTAGTGTATTATGAAAAGGAACGAGGTAAACAGTACTTGGGGGTTTGTGCAAAGATAAATATATAAAGAGTTCGTTTTTGATACCTAATTTTTCTCCATTGTAGAAATTGTCTATGATATCGAATTCCATGATAACTGATTTAATAACTAAGAACTTGGTAAAATTTTGAGTTTATCTATCAAAAATGGTAAATTTTTGAGGTATTGCCATATTAGCATTGATGACATAAGGCAAGATTTAAAATATCGATATGCAACTAGGGGTGTCAATCAACCGGTTTTGGGTTGGACAACATCCAAATCAAAATCCATTTGGATGGATTGAACGGACCAATAAGATATATTGAATTTGGACGGACTGGATATGGCATATTAGATTGGACCTTGTCCGTCCATAATGAATTTATATTGGAATGAGACAATATCTGGTCCATTGATAGAAGATAAGAATATAGGTGTCAATGGACCAGGTTTGAGTTGAAACCAATCTAAATTAACAGGAATTTGAACAGATTGGACAGTTTCTGGATCGGTCCAAAATGGTCCAAATATTCATTGGACTGGATTGGACCAGGTCCATTTTTAATAGACTCACATTGGACTGGACTGAATTAGACCAAATTTAGTCCAATTGACACCCCTATATGCAACTATCAAGATTCAATCGACACAATACGTATCCGTATGCAGTGTATATGTATTTGAAACTCAGACATGTGTTGTGGGTGGTGGTGGAATTAGGGGTGGGAGTTTGGTAGGCCAAGGTTCCAGATATCAACACGTTTTTTTTTTTAGTTTTATTTATTTATTTTGAAACTGGTTCAGAGGGGTCAGTTTAAGGCCTGACTACCCTCTGAATCGGTGGCTGACCTGATACAACCCCTGGAGGGGAGTATAGTAAACCATCAGCATGATACGTATCGATACTTTTAACCTTGGGGAAGGCTTTGGCTTGGTTTATGGTCAATCATGACCCAATTCTAAAACTGGGTCTTAGGCCTGACCTGGCGTCGAGCCCAAGTTTAATTGCTCAAGTCCGATTTATCTAAGCTGGGTATATCCCACATTGAGTTTTGATGCATTTGGATTGCGTTTGGTATTTGGTATATGTGTGTATATAGGCAGTTTTTTGGCATTTGGTGCCATGCACAAATAATAAGTTCCCCTTGACCCCCCTTTTCCCCATAACAAGGTTCAAAATATTGTTACGTATTGGCCGATATGTATCATATCGGGGCCTTCCTGATATGCCCCTACAGGGTGTGAATTGGGTCAGGCCATGGTTCAGAGGGTAGCCAGGACTTAAACTGACCCCTCTGAATCAGTTTTGAAAAAAATAAAACACAAAAAAGAAAAACCAATACAGGGTGTATCAACCTATATCGATATTTAGAACCTTGCCCCAGAGTACTAGCTGCAAGATTCGATTCCGGACCAACCCTGGATCAAATCAGCTGACACACCAATGAGCCAGCCTTCGGTTGGTTGTATATAAGCAGATAGGTATGTGTAAATATGAATCTATATATGTATGTGTACATGTGAATAGTTGGGTCTGGCTTGAGTTACCTAAGGGCTAGTCACAAGCTTAGTTTAAAAAATAAAAAGGCCAAAGTCTTAGCCCTAGGCCTGTTTGAAGTATTAACTATCATACACTTTCATTTAATCATTATTTTCTTGATTAAAATGCTCTTATCTTTTAGTTTAGCTTGTCTCTAATTGTGAGGGCAGAAAATGTAATTTGAACTTATTTTTACCTCATTCAATTCTCTCTCATTAAGTCTTATATTTAAGGTATTAACTCCCACTCTCTCATTCAATCCTATATTTAAGCAATATAAAACCCTTGTTTAAAATCAACCCAAAAACGACACCATTCCTCCATTTTGGTGGTGGGTAAGCAATCCAACCACACAAGTAAATGAGTCAAACTATGATGACATAGTTAAATAATAAAATTTTGAGATTGGAAATAAATTCAAAAAAGAATTCTAGAAAAATTGGACATGTTTCTAATATTTTATATTAATCATATTAAAGAAAAATACATATGATAAACAATAATTGTTTTATTGATGTTGGAAATGAAATACAACATTTAAAACTATCCCAAAAATGAAATTATTTTCTTATTTAGTGGTGGGTTAACACCAAATGTGTCAACCCTTATTGTCAAGATTAAATAATAATAATAATAATTAAAAAATGTCAAAAATACAAAAAATGCATAAAATTACTAATATTTTATATTAATCATATTAAATAAAAACAAGTGTGATAAACAATAATTTTTTTATTGATGATGGAGAGGAAATACAAAATATAAAGCCAACACAAAAAATAAAATGCTTTCGTATTTGGTTGAGTGTCAAAAATTTAGCCTTTTGGATCAAATGCGTCAACCCTTGATATCATAATTAAATAATGGAAAAGATAGAAAAGATAAAAACACTAAAATTATGAATAATGAAGCAATTTTGTAGAAAATACTTGGATAGATTTCTAATATTATATATTCATTGTATCAAACAAAAAATATAGAAAACAATTGTAGAAAATTTTGGGCATATGTCTAATATTTTATTGAAGATAATGTTTTATTAATCATATTAAAAAATGAGAAAAATTGTTTTTCTTTTATTGATGATAATGATGATGAAATGCAAAATTCAAAACTACCCCAAAAGTGAAGTTGTTCTCATGTTTGGTGGAAGCCCAATAGACCAACCTTTTAGGTAAAAAATGTTAACTGTGATTTCATAATTAAACAATAAAAAAAAAAGATAAAAATACAAAAAAGTTATAAAAATGGATAAATTTTGTAAAAATAATTTGGGTACATCTCTAATATCATATATTCATTATGTTAAACAAAAATAAGTATGATCAATAATAAATATTTTTATACACATAAATATAAAAAGTGGTAAAAATTAGTAAAAAAATATTATCATCATTGTAGACATGTGAATTTTTAAGCCAAATAAGTGGGTTTAGTTTACATGGTAGCCCTCCCAAGTTAATATGGGCCTCTATGGCCCAAGTCCCAAGTCTTTATAAATATATCGCATTGCCCAAGGATCTAAGTGTAGTAAGTCTAACAAGGCCCATGTCCTATTGTAATAGGTTGGTCCCATTGGCAAGACCACTAGTTCCTACATAATGGTGTATGTATTGGAGTTAAGGTTGCAACCTTAATCCTACGCTATAAATATCTTTGGCTAAGAAGAAAGATTCTTTTTTTTTCACAATCACATTTACAAGAGCTTTCGCACACTAGCAATTGAGAATTTCAAGCAACCACAAGCTTTGCAAGCTTCAATTCTACTTCAACATCAAGAAAGAAGAAAGAAAAAAAGAAGGAAAGAAACTTCTTAGATCTGTACTCCATACTTGGATTCAACCTCTCCAAGAAGATAAAGCGTGAAGCTTGGAGTAAAGAAATCTACATCAATTCTTCAAAAAGCACCAAAATCAAAGAAATCTACATCAACATTTCAAGAAGTATGGAAAACATGCCAACAATCCTTGTCTTCATCGAATTTGACCATTAATCAGAGGTTGCTCATGTCATCAACCAAAATAAAAGAAAGTTAATTCCCTTGTATTTTTATTTATTACAAATTCATTTTTATAATTTTCTCTATATTTTGTGTTAATTAAAATACACGAAATTTGTGTTGAAAAAATTCTAGCACACCCGATGGGTCTGTCTCTTCATTTAATCTTTTGATTCAACAATTACAACAATCATCTAATGGCTACCAAGAAGACTACAACTTCCATCAACAAGTCATCTGATGCTATTAGTTCTTCTTATGACCAACCTATCACACGTGCTATGGCAAAATCCAACAATGTGCAACTATTGTCTCTAATGGATCTTCTAACACAAAAAATCACCAAAGTGACCATTCTACAATCCAACATTGGGTCAATGACGGAGTTTTACTCCTCTCCATCATACAACAACTCCTACTCTATTTCTAATGGTGTCGTACCAATGGTGATGACAAAAGCCACGATGACAAAAGAATAACTCTAGAAGATGGTTGAAACCATTGACAACCTCAAGAGTTCAAATGCCAAGAATTTCATATTGCTTACTTGATGAACACACTAAAGATACAAAACTGCCAAGTAAAATCTAGCCAAGGACCTTCTCACCCTCCTGGATTCACTCCTCCTGTGACTCTTGATCCCCAAGAAGAGCGGAAACAATAGCAAGAAGATAATGATCGTGTCACCATGCAGAACATGATGCAGGACACTACTCAAGTCTCCTTCACTTCTCTAGCAATGCAACATCTCCAATAGTTGATCATCGACACCATAAGGTCTCAATATGGAAGAGTCCCTCAAACCTTTCTAGTGTATGCTAAGCCGTACACTCATCGCATTGATGAGATGCACATGCCGATGAGCTATCAACCTCATAAGTTTAATCAGTTTGACGGGAAGGGCAACTCAAAGTAGCACATAACCCACTTCATCGAGACTTGCAACAACACGGGAACCTATGGTGACCAAATGGTGAAGCAATTTGTTCATTCCCTCAAATCTACAACATTTGATTGGTACGCTAATCTCCAACTAGGTTCTATTGACAATTGGGACCAGCTTAGAGAGAGAGAATTCCTCACCAGCTTCTATTGTACACGCCAAACAGTTGGGCTTCTAGAACTTTCAACTACAAGGCAAAGAATGGATGAGTCTATCACTGACTACATCTAGCAATTGAAGAACCTTGCCCTTCAATGTAAGGAACAAATCAGTCAGTCATCTACCATGGACACGTATATCCAAGGGATGTAATGGGGGCTAGTCTATAGCCTCAAAGGAAATATGCCAAACACCTTCAA